CGCGATAAGGAAGGCGACGACAAAGGCGAGCGCAAGAATGGCAGTCGGCACCAGGGTGGAGACCAAACTGGAAAGGGAGTTGGAGGATTCTTGCTGGGCTTTGCCAACTTCACCACCCTTTGTTATGGTTAGCGCACGTTCATGGCGGTGCTGTCGCGATAGCGGAGGGACTCACGGTGGACGACATGCTGGGCAACGAGGCAGTCGCGTGCCCGTGGGGTAGGAGTGAAGGAGTCGCGAAGGGAAGATGCTTCTTAGGAAATGAGGAGGCTCTAGGACTGCATACAAATAAACAGGACTGCGGGCGCTATACAAGGAGTCCACCAGCCTCTAGTGTGACGTCGTGGTCCAAGCACACTCCACAAATCGGTCCTATCGCGCGACTCGAGCCAGCCCGCTAACGCCTTCAGCTTAGCTGCGCGCATCCAGCTTCTGGACCCTGACACTTCACTGCGGGCTGCATCACCAGCCTCAATTGCGGAACGCTTTTCACTGCGTGGCGGTGATGCACCTCGGCGTGGCCGTGAAGTGAAGTGAGACTTTTCACCCACCCATGTCCGGGCTCGAAACGCGTCTTCATGTGAAGGATGCGCGACAAGGGCCCAAGGAAATTACCGAGCTGGCGGAAAAGCAACCTTGTGATTCGCGACATGCGGCGCAAATCCAGTTGAGAGAACATTGCCAAGCTCCCAGCCTCGCTAGCGATCGTCCTGGATGCGGTACGACAATTACGTCAATCGAGCGTTGTCCGCTGCCGGGCTACCCCTTCTCCTGTCAGGTGTCACTAGACGCCGCCTTGGTTGAAAGCGACCGACAATACAGTGATACAGCGAACAAACACGGCACAGAACCGACTATGCGTTGTTGCGGTTAAGCAGCCGAAACTATGACGATGCCATCTCACCGTACTCTGTGCGCATCCTATCACCATAGACTGCACACAGACACGACACAGACACAGAAAGCCTATTCTCCCCACCGCATCTGAATCCCGCAGTGATAGTCACAATTGATTGACACGCGCAGCCGCTCCTCGCACACAGCGGGAAGGATTGACAACTCCACACCCCCTGTGGGAACCGACGATCTAGATTGAAGCCACATCCCGTCTCACCACGTCTACGATCTCATCTGCGGCTGCAGCCAATCCCCTGACCCCTCCTGTGATCTCCACCAACACCAGGTGACGCGCAATATCGACTGGACAGAATTTGAGTTTTCGTCTTTTCAGCTCGCTGCCCCTGTTTACACATGCGGGTACACGTGGCGCAGCGGCCAGACCCTGCGTTTTTTGCTGCACCGCCACACGTTCACACCAATCTTTTCCGCGGGGTGTGCGCAATCGTTCTTACGCGCTTGGGCTAGGTAAGCTGCGATTCACGGCCTTTCCAGAGGGATGATGCAATCGCAGAGGTCGTCTTCTAATCAAACCACCAACTAGCTCGCAAGTGCCATTGAGCCGTTGGCGGTGCCGCCCATCGATGGAAAGGTAGCATCATCTTTGTCTGCATCAGACGCACAAATGCCTGTCGTCTTCACATGAGCCGATGATGAACCTTCTTTGTTCTTTCAGAGTTTGCTTCAATAGGACCGAACCAGCCGTTGATCTCTTCAGAAACCATAGATAGGCGATACGCGATATTAACCACCGAGCCCCCTGCCCACTTCGGCACTGCCGCTGCGAGATGGCTTATGGACGATACAGCGCATCGAAGACATGTGCTCACCACATGCAAGGGGAACAAAGAGCATGTCACTTCTGCAGACTGTATCAGAAAAGGAAGGGCAAATTGACAATATCCACCGTTACGATAGGCGCCCCGGTCCTCTAGAAACACGAACGATGCTCTTTTCGCGCCATCGCAGTAGGCGACCATGAGTGGTCCTCCATCTGGACCATTACACGCCCACTCACCAAGGTCATCGTTTCAGGGTCTGTTGCTATCCGTGCATAGCGGCTTCGAACGTCCTAGAAAGAGCTACAAAAATCAGTACATCGCCCAGTGGTCGATACATGGATTAAGAGTAGCATCTTCTCAGCCATCCATTTCAACATTCAGTATACAGCACTGGGACCTTTGGACAGCAGGAGGCAACAGGCGGTTAGCGATCATCTGACAACAGTAGATACCAGATGAGGCTAGCGCATATGTAGCATTGTGGCACAGCTGCGGGGACAACAACATGTGAGGACTGCGATGATATCACCGTGCCATTGCACATTTGCGAGTCGCGATTACAATCATGTCGCTTTGTAACGTTTGCAGGTCGATACCATTTCGCAAATTCATCACACAAGAGAGATATGATCACACGCTTGAAAGAGCTGGCTTTAGGTTCAACGCAGTTGGGCGAACATCGTCGATCCCTAACGACAAACTTCCTTGGAACGAGCGACGATGCACCATTGCAGAGATGGTGTCTCGCGCGAAGACATGCCCACTTTGCGCATACATCCTGCTGAAAATCAATCAAACGAGTTGGTACACGACGAAGGAGAAGGGAAGAAACTCCTTCACATTGGAAACAATCAAGACTGTCGTTCCACAGAATCCCATGGTGTGGATGAGGTTACCTGGCGCTAAGCAGCCGTCTAAGCCCTTCCAAATCGCCTTAGGTACTCCACACTGTGTTGTAACTTCCTCTTGGTTGCTCGTATACATAAGGTTACTATTTGGTAATTTTCACGCACGCTGAACAATAAGAAGATCCTAAACTGACTGGATAGTACAGACGACCCATTAACGCGAATCTGCGACCTCACTAGTGTTGTTCTAAGAGAGACACTGCATCCTAAAACATTGGAACGTATGCTATCTTGGCTGGACGAATGTAACACTAGCCACTCCTGGTGCCATAATCGATCAATGCGACGAGTACCCCTGCCTACACGAGTCTTGGACGTGAGCATGCTTCCTGGACGAGAACAAATGCTCGGTATGCAGCAGCCATGGCGAGATCAACTTCGGGGTGAAAGTTGCAAGCTTCTACAGACTTCCGAAGGTCAGACGGGTCTTTATGCGGCGTTGAGCTACTGCTGGGGCACCACCTTACCCTTGACGACGACTACAATCAATTTGAAGAACCACGAGTCTGGCATAGGCTTCAACAATCTACCGCGAACCTTGCAAGACGCTGTTATGGTTGTACGATGTCTGGACATTGGATACATCTGGATTGATTGCTTATGCATCCTGCAAGACTCGAAGAGAGACTGGGAACACGAATCTGCACATATGGCAGATGTATACTCCAATGCATCTTTGACTGTAGCTGCTTCACGAGCAGAGCACTGTGGGGAGGGATTCCTTGGTCCTCGCGAACTAAATCCTCCATTATGTGTGAACATCAAAGACGAAGGAGACTCGTTCGATCTGTTCTTTCAAACTGCTCCCATGCCAGTTGACGAGGTTGGTTGAACTCCCTGCGTTTGGCGTTGTTGAATTGATCCTTTCTAATACCTTTAGCCTTTGAATGGTCGTGGATGGGCTGGACAAGAAAAAGCACTCTCCCATCGTGTCTTGAGCTTTGAGACTGGCGAAATAACCTGGAGATGCTACATGAGTAATAAGAACGAAGAGAAACTTAGACCAATTAACTGGGCGTACTTGCACCACACTTACCACGGGGATACCATTGAGCAAATGGCACGTGCGCTAAAACAACCTATAAGTCGCAAGCTTTATCAATGGAATGATTATATAGAAGATCATACCATACGCGAGGTGAGCTTCAACAAAGACACCTTTCCAGCGATGGCTGGCGTTGTTCGAAAAGTACAAGAAGTCACCGGGGCCACATATTACGCCGGTCTATGGAAATCGCACTTCCTTATCGGCCTCCTATGGCACTTTTATCCGCTGTGGTACTACCATCCGTACCAATGGTCTCTTATCCCAGAGGAAAGAAGAGGAGAGAAACGACGAGGTCTTAGGAAACGGCAGGTATGGACTGCCCCATCGTGGTCGTGGGCGTCTGTCAAAGGAATCATTTGTCACGATTATCAACACAGCCTCGCGGCTGACTTCATGTGGGCCGATTATTGTGCCCATCTCGAAGAGTGCAACATCACTCACAGCGGCTTGGACCCCTTTGGCGAAATTACGGCTGGGTTCGCCCGCATCAGAGGACCGTTAACTCTGGTCACAAGTGTCAAGGCTGACACAGATACGGTACAGTATCCATCGTGTAAGCTCCAGCTCGGAAGCGGCGCACTGGTCAATGCTTTTGCTATGTTTGACTCTGTCGACTACAGATCCTGTAATGCGATGATGATTACCGGCCACCTGGGCATATGCATCGAGAAAGTCGAGGGAACGACGGATACATATACTAGGATTGGCACTGTTGAGATCAAGAGAAAATATGAAGGCCCCGGGAGCGATACTGGCGATGACGATGAGTATACTATCTACAATCCGAGGTCGATTGTGACTGCTGCGGACCATCCCCCCAGCACGTACTATCACTTTGGTTTAGTTGTCGTCGACTCCAGCTCGTATTGAAGTGGTATGGTGCATCAGGGTCCGTCTTAGTACCTCCAAAGATTATACACCATCTTCGACGATAGTAATTGCTGTTCTTACTCCTCCGGTCCGATCACTTCAGTCATTCCGGTCAAAACAGCAAATGAGACTTGAGTAGCGCGTGCCCCGAAACTGACGACGGAAACGAATATATACCGACGATACCCACACCGCAGCGGGTCGCAGTGCAAACGCTCCAGGCAGCTCTGATTCGTCGGCCACTCACCTCGACTTCGAGATGTCGGTCACGTCACGGTCGCTACTTCCATAAACCCCTCTATTACCCCATTCGATACACTCTTTTGCTTCATTACCGCGTTTCCCGACACCTCTTACACTATTAAACTCTCTCTCTTCGTTACCACCTTACCGCCAGATTGTTACCACTTCCCGCGACATCTCTCTCCGCACGAGGATCACCGCCCATCCACCCGCCTTCCATCAACAATTCCGACCCCCGAATTCTCCAACAACATGCCCCCGCCGAATCCCCCACCCAACGACACGTCCATATTCGGCACATACCTCCCACTCTCAGCCCGCCACGGCGTCCAAGCAGCCCGTCGTCTGCCGCACAACTCCGGCCCCGTACGTCTCCTACCCCTTGATGCAGTCGTAGGCGTCTCAGTCCACTAACAACAACAACAACAACAACAACAACAACAACAACAACCAGATGTTCAACCCCCACACCCGCATCAACGAAGCAATCGACGCCCTATGCGCAATCCGTCACTCCATGTCCGAGCTCGAGACCCAGCACCGCAGCGCTCTCGAGACCAAAGACGCTGAGATGGCGACCCTCCAGCGGCGCTTCACACGACTAAACACGCTGCACAGGACCACCAAGGCTCGAATCGACGAAAAAGTCCTGTTGCAGGGCAAACTGCAAAACGACATGAAGATATTGAAGCGGGAATTCGCGGCCGAGAAGGCGAAGAAGGGTGTTGTCGACCAAGATTTGGAAAAGCGGTTGGGAGAGGTGCGAGAGGAGAATGGGTTGTTGACTGCGAAGGTGGCAGGATTGGAGAAGGAGCTTGCGGATGAGAGGGCGAGGGGGAAGGAGAATAGGGATGCGAAGAGGGAGTTGGAGGTTATGAAGACGAAGTTGGCGGATATAGTTAGTGGGGCGGAGGTTAAGGTTGAGGTTGTTGAGTAGGGGGAAGGGAGTGAGGATTTGGCGGGCTTGGGGAATGGTTGTTGGGGTGTTTCATGTAGTTTCCTTGATGGGATGTCTGGATCTAGATGGAGGTGTTCTGGGATATCTGTATGCACTGTTGCATCATACCGAGTTCTCAACACTTTCCAATGTATTACATGTGTTGACCACCACCCTGTTGCAGAAGTGCTTCCCTCCGCTGTCTCATTCTTGTCTCTTCCATCTCCAGCCACTCCACCTCCCTCTTTCTCTGCGCTTCCACATGTGGCGAGACTTGCGACGTTGTATCATTTGATCCCGGTATTGGCAGCGTCTCTGCATTCCTGCCATCACCTCCATCGTCCCTTCCGACGACCTCAGCCTCATCCGCTCGCCTATGTTCCTCCATCCCGTTATACGGCAATTCTCCCGGTTGCTCCTCAGCCCTAAGCTCATGCGCACCGCCAATCGCGTATTTGTACGAGTGCGACCGATCCAATTCCTGCGTGAGGCCATTGCCAGACATTTCTTGGTACTCCGTCTGGTCCGCTCCCGTTCTTGTCGCATTGTGATCTGTATCGAGGACCATCTTGTTGCCGTCGCCTTCTCGTCTTGCTAGTTCGTCGTCGGTGAGGGTGGTCGTGGGTTCCGGTGTTCTCCGCTTCTTGCGCCGCCAGAAGTACCATCCGCCTATTATTAGGGCGAGAATGACGATGCCTCCTGTCGCTATGCCCGCGATTGCGCCACTCCCTATTTCTGGTTTGGATTTGCCGTTGCGAGTAGGATTACCTAGGTAGGTTCGGGCAGAACGAGGCGGCGTGATTGTGGTGGTGGGTCGAAGTAATGATGGGGATGCCGAACTTGGTGACGGTCTTGTTTTATCCCCTATTGTTGATGTTGCAGCTAGGGACCAGTACAGAATCATCGCGGAGGGCGATGTTGCGAGAGACAGGGCGGCATCGTTCACCCTCTGAGGTGCATCCCCTGCTGTTATTGTAACGAGTGGTAAATGGGAATCATCAGGGGAAACTACAAGTTGGAGCGATGGTGACGGTTCCACGGTAACTACAGCAAGCAATGAGATGACCCCGGATTCTGGGGCTTGCCAGTAGAAATTTGTGCTGTACGATGTCTCGACCGCTGTATCGATCTCTGCGGTGGCCCATGTTGTCATCTTCGGCAATTATGCAGTATTATTGGGACTGCGGTAATGGGTCGCTGTTCGTTCAACAGAATAAGACAAATCCACGGACATGTGAGTATAGGAATGATGGGGCTTGAAAGATGGAGCTAGACAGCTGTCTGTTCTAGAGTCCTGCCAAACGACCTGCGATATGTCCCTGGTAAAGGCCATAGCATGTATATTTACAGCCTGGTTAAGGCTTAGAGGGCTGTCATCGCGGCAAGACTACCTAGGCAGAACCATCGATATATGGATTGAGCGCCGGATTTAGTTAGATTATTGCTCTTTTGAGCGCTGCCAAGATGTGGTGTTGGCAGCGCATGCCGCCCATTCGCTCCACAAAGTTTTCGCCCCTAAATATGTGTATCTACACCGACGTTAATTCGATCCTTTGCTGCCGTGTCGCGCGGGGTAAGGATGCAGCTTATGGTATACGACATATGGCCTAGATGTCAGCCGCAGCCTACGATTGTAATAGAGACGGGCAGTGACGCAGAACGAGGCGGGCAGTGACGCAGAACGAGGCTACCTAGGTAAATGCGCTTGCCGTCCTTCCTGTGCGCATTAGTTTCTGCGAACAGATCTTGGTGTATACACACGCCGCCAAATCAACTCAAAGTAAACTGTCATATCGCAGCCGCGTCTTGATTAAGTCCGTCTCGATCTCCTATACGTATGTCTAAGAATCACTTTCGCCTTCGTCTCCTTCGTTTCCAACGCTGCTTCCAAGAAATGTTCAGTCACCCTCTCTACTCATCAACCTTCCCACGCCCTTACATCCAAAGCGTCCCCGATCTGTTTCATATTCTCTCCTCTTCCATCTTGAGCCATTACACCTCTCTCTTCTTTTGCGCTTCTACATGTGTCGATACATGCAAAGCAGTGTCATCTCTTGCCGTGGTCGTGGCTGGCACACTCACGTTCCCATCATCATTCATCCCACCCACTGTGGCATGCGGTAATTCTCCCGGTATATCATCGGATCCACGCTCATGCGCCTCTATCTGGATGAGTACGAAGGGTGAAGCTCTTGTGCGTGACTATCGCCAGACGTCTCTTGACGCGCGCCGGATGTAGGGTTGTCGGAGAGTACCTTCTCATCATCTCGTCCCGCTTGCCCTTCGGACGCAGGGGCGTTCTTGCTCGCAGCAGACTTCGCGCGTCTTTTTCGACGCCAGAAGGACCGGCCACCGATTATGAACACTAGGATAAGGACGCCCCCTACTGCTATGCCGGCAATAGCGCCGCCTGAGGTATGTTTACGGCGTGAGGTTCGATTAGGACGAGGCGACTTGGTTGCGATCGGGTTCCCAGTTCTCGTTGAAGATGGCAAGTTCAGTGACTTCGACTTTGCCAATGCTAAACTCCATGAATTTGAAAAGTCCGTACGAGTCGAGTACAAAATCGCCATTCCATCGTCTTCGCCTCGGAGCGCGATATAGAGAAGACCTGATGTCATGGTGGAGCTTGTTTGTAGCGGTGGGGCTTCTGGGAACCGAAGTTCAAGCGTCGGTGTTATGTGTACTGTGATTGTTGCTAACGGGATATCATCTCCCCGCAGAGTTGTCGTATACGGATCATTGGTCTTGATGTTGATCCGTTCGGTTTGCCATGCCGATGTAGACATGTTCAACGTGTCTGCAGTGTTCTGGCTGTTGCTACCGAGACGCTGCTCAAACAAAATAGTTCAATGAACATGCGACTGCACGAAGTGAAGACGCGAGATGGGGACCTAGACAGTAACGACGCGGGTATCTGCTTCGATGTAAAACGATCTAGGATACACTCCCTTATCAGGGCCTCAGAGCGCCTGTATATAGCCTGAACGAGGCTTGGAGGGTTTCATCGGTCTACATCCAGGTCCAGGGATAGATTTGAGCGCCGAATCTAGACAAGCTGTTACTCTTCTAGGCGCTGGTGAACGCTACTCAAATGCGGCACAGACTGCGCATGCTACCCATTCGCTGGACAGTCTCGTCCTCCAACTTTATGTAATTGAACCAACGGGCAAGAATGCAGCTTGCTGTACACAACATATGGGCTAGATGTCAGCCACACTTTACGGTTGTAAAGTAGGAGCAGGCGGCTTTCTGCGCTAGATGCGCTTGATGCTCTTCATTGATTCACGGCAACTGTTTGTAGAGGTTACTGTACCACAGCCAGTTCCATGATCGCGTTGTCCAATCGGCTTTTTCTGGCCCCCAATTCTCCACATGCAGTAGAGCATTGATTCGATGTTCCTCAGGCCGAAGATGCGGCCAACATCACACATGACGTTCGATCGTTTGGGTCTAGCTGGTGTCGCCTGTGCCTCACGATCTTTCGTCCCAATTGTTCGAACCAAAAATTACATTAGGCTAGTGTACTAAACGAGCTCGCCTTCGGAACCACAGAAGCGTTATTGACTCTTTCCACTTGCTTGCATAGAAAGCGTCTCCCTCTTCTTCCGGATCCTCTCCTCCTCCATGTCCAACCACTCCATTTCACGTCGTCTTTGCGCCTCTACATTCGGTGACACTGCAGCACTCCTTTCTCCAGCTTCTTCACCAGCGTCGGTCTGGTTTACTGGTGTTTGAGGCCTGTGAGTGTGTACTGCAGAACTTTGTTCCTCTCCGCCGTGTGATAATTCCGCCGGTCTACCATCAGGATGAAGCTCATAAGCCGGCTCATACTGATACGCTGCTTTACTCGTAGAATGCCGTGTTACGTGCGTCGCATATTTCGCGGACTGATTTTGATCCAACTCTTGCGCTGGCATGACTATGTCTCCCGGCATTTCTTGATGATTATCTGGAATATACGGTTGTTTCTCCGGCGGAGTGTACTGTGGCGGTGGCCCTCCAGTGCTTACGACCCTCGTGCCCTGTTCATCGTCGCCCGGACCTGAAGTTCGTGCTTTTGAACGCTGCCTTGGTCGCCAGAAGAACCATCCTCCGATTATGAGAGCGAGGACGAGAATACCGCCTATAGCTATTCCGGCGATTGCGCCGCCTCCTAGACTTGGACTGCTGCCCTCGTTGGCGGATGCGGTTGCAGTAGATTGACTGCTACCTCCAGACTGTATTTCACTCGAGCTACTCTCTGAGCTTGAGCTGCTTGAGCTGCTTGAGCTGCCTGAGCTAGTGGTCGCATCAGCCACTGAAGCTGTCTGATCCCCACCATCACTCGTAGAAGTTGGTCTTGGGATTTCTGCTGGTGGTATCAACGTTTGTTCCACAACGCTCGACTCTGACGTGATCGGACTGCGGCGAAGAAATATCTGATCCGGGTCTGTCGTGAGCGAAATCTCAATACCAGAGAAAACATAGTTTTCTCCAACCGTTACAATGTGCGTTTCTCCGGGCAGCACGATACCGCGCGGCGAGGGGGTCACGCGTATCATCAGAGTTCTTGACCAATCGTCTGCGCTGTCTGAGATAGATATGGAAGTTGGGTAGCCCCCAGAACTCCACCTCTCGACGTACCAGGGGTATGTATTAGCTGGTGAGTCGGACATTGCGGGATAGTGCGTGCGACGGCAAAGAGCTGGATAGATGTATGTAGCTTGATGTAGGATATCGGAGCACAAGCTCATACAAATGTCAAGGTAGAGGGGCAGATAAACCCATGCCCAGCTGGCCTTTCCAAGATGAATGCATCATCGCAGGCGGGCGGGGTACCTCCACACACTGCGACACATCGCCACGAGCATGCCTTCTATGCGATAGGTCAAAGATACAAAGGTACCCACCTACCTACACGTTGAAAGTCATGCATCGGCCCTTCCACACAGGTCTTGTGACGTTCCGTCGAATCAAACGTGGAGATGGTGTTTGCGGCACAGTCAAGCGAGCAAGGCTGTGCATGAAGGACCAACTTCTCATTCGACGAGAACATGCTGTGTACTGGTACGGTCAAGGTTGTATCGTCATTCCGATGCAGGATGTAGAGTGATAGGTATAGAGGTCGCAGTTTGGGTCGCAGGAATGTGTTGGTTGCTTTTGACTCGGTGCAATGTGTCGGCAGACACTAACGTCTGGAGTCTTCTGAACTGGACATGTAGACGGTTACTTGTACTCTTATGTTCTATTCGTACATTCTCGACTGGAAATGAGTCCAAGTAGCTGTAGTACGTCGGCTGAAACTTGAGCGAGAAACGAAATGTTCGAAGGAATAATTCGATATCATATAGATGTTGAACGAATCCTTTGCGACTCACACCCGTGCCATGGGCTAGTCCATCAATTTTTATCTGATGAGATTGTGTTGAAGGCTCCAATCACAGAGCCTCCTCGATTGTAAGTCACTGCGAGGTCTCCGTATGCGATCTTGCAACCGATGCTGGCTTGTCGCAAGGTAAGGATCTGCTGAGCACACGATGCTTAAGGACCCCGCCGGTCGATTGGTCAGGCAGGGCATTAGGCTCGTGGAGCGATCGCCGGTTGAAGGATCATTTACGAGCCTTTCGCCCCGCCCTGCACAGCAAGCAATTCACGCCGCTTCCGTATTCTCTCCTCCTCCATTTCCAGCCATTCCATCTCTCTTCTCCGTTGCGCTTCAACGTTCGATAATTGTGTAGTATTCGTCGTCTCCGTCATTTCAGCGGGTGATCGTTGCGGAAGGTGGTACGGTACTGGTGCAGTGTATTCGTCGGGACCATTCAGCAACTCAACTGGCTCAGACTCGGTTTTGAGCTCATGAGATCCATTCGTGGCGTACTTGGAGTATTGTGTAGGATCCAGCTCTTGTGTGTGGGCCCAACG